CATAGCGACCCAGGCGGCCCTGGCCAGGCCCCCCTGTGCCCGGGCCCCATACAGGCCACCTGGATCGTTACGGCGATTGTTACGCCACTGGGTTCCTCAACATGCTTCACCACTTCCCGGGCTTCCTCAGGACGACTTCAATACCTAGAACACTGCAAATTGTGGAGCAGAAAGCGAAATGTACCCAACATCGGAGGCCAACCCTCCTAAGGGGGGCCAAGGAGGGGTGCAGCAAAGGCAAGTCCAGACTCCTCACACATCGAGAGGACTTCAATACATCCGCCGCCAGTCTCTCCGATATCATGACAGTTAAGAGTTGAGACTCGTTGACATCCTTCTTCACTTCCAAGCCCGAGCTGCAGCAGAAACACCTCAAGATTTCCATTTGCAACACAATTTCTTCAAAGATTCATCTTCCTTTTATATCCATGTGTCTAGTCATGTCACTTAAAGTCAGATTATTATCTCTAGGGCCTTGCAGAGACTAATTCAACGGGTTCATGTGATGAAATGATATGTCAGCTAAGTAGCAGGTTTCTGCATCTTCAAAGCCCTCATCTAAACCCGGCCTATGATCTTCTTGAAGCCTTCAGTCCTTCTTTCAGCTCATACAGTCCTCTGTTAAGGACTCTTCCTCTGCTTAGCCGCCTGGTTTCTGTACATACCGTGTTTCCCCGAAAATAAGACACTGTCTTATATTTTTTTTGCCCCAAATAAACACACTAGGTCTTATTTTCAGGGGATGTCTTATTTTTTTTTAATGTGCAACAAAATGTACAACAATTTAAAGTTATCTGGTATCGCTCCGCCTGTCACAGTAACTGGCGCTATAGAGAGGAAATATCGGCTAATGCGGCTTTGCTCCCTCCGCCGACGCAGCCTTGCTTTCTACTGCGCTGGCTTCCTTTGCCATCAGGGGCAATGGTACCAGCGGTGCAGCAGTGGGAAATCAGACAGTGGACAGTGCGGTAAAGTACAGTACCATTTACCGGTACACATTACAGTACAGTACCATGACATTAAGCAGTGCCTTCAGGGGGACAGCAGTTGGTGTAGTATGGTACTGGAGTGCTGCCTGTCACTGCGCCGGCCGGAGGGAGTCCCCTGTCATCCCCTTAATACAGTATGTCCCTGCAGGCTGAGACCATCTCTCCTGCTCTTCAAGTTTCCCCTCACATGCTACCACCAAACTAGGTCTTATTTTCAGGGTAGGTCTTATTTTAGGGGAAACAGGGTAGCAGGTGATTTATGTGCTCTTTGTTACTGAGAGAACTGGTCTGTGTTCAATAAAGTTAAAGTGGAAGTGCGCCCTAGAATGACTCCATGAACATTAAACAGCCATATAATGGTTGTGCCCTGATAAGTGCATAGCACCATGTTTGAGATCTGTCCACTCCCACAGCAATCAGCATTGGAACCAGCTGGCCATGCGACCATTCCACCCCATGGTGTCACTCGGCCCACCTCGTGCTATCTACATCTTTGACATAATCGTGGTACAGGGAACCTAGTCAGGGTTTGCAATGAGTGACACCATAAATTGCACAGTTTGCTGGTAAACGGCCGGCAGTTTCCAATGCTAATTGTTGGAAAGGGAAGGAACTTTGAGGTATACAGAAGTGTTCAACTCCCTCACGCAAGTTATGGGGACGAGCTGAACCGGATTTACACTCCCTGCTGCCCCAAGGCCAGTTTCCGCAATGCGCCCCCCACCCCCCATGGAGAATGCCAACCAGATAGCGGGTGTGGCAGGGTTAGTTTGAATTTTTGTCACTTTTTTATCACTTTTTTTATTTTTGTTTATTGATTGCTTTACTTTTTTACATTTGTATTTATCTTGCCATCTTTTACTTTTTTTTTAAATAATTTTTTATCTTATTTTTTATTTAGAATTATTTTTTAATAATTATATGTAATTATTTTTTTATCACATTGTTTTTCACTTAACTTTATTGCTATCACACAAGAACTAACAAGCCGCTGTGTGATAGCATTTGGAGGTGGCAGGTTCTCTTTATTGAACCTGTCACCTCCAATACAGGAGTTCTAGCGCAGCACTGTGCTGGAATTACTGTGCAAGGTGAGAGAGGAAGAGCGCAGCGCAGCACAGCACAGCACAGCATAGCACAGCACAGCACAGCTCTCCCCTCTCACTGTATACACGGAGCGGAAGGGTTACTTTTAACCCTGCCGCTCTGCTCACCGCTCTCCCTCCTGGGGACGTCAGCGGCCAGCGAGGAGAGGACGGAGGCGGGAGACGCAGCCAGCATAGAGGGACAGAAGTAGGTGCAGGGGGTGGCGGGGGAGGACGGACAGCCTGCAGTCTGATTACAAGTGATCTTCATGATCTTCATTTGCACTTTTGTCTTGTGATGGTTGTAAGGTAATTAAAAAAACATACGATCTGCCCATCTTGGACAGGCAGATCGTACTTGTGATCATCGCAAGCCCGCCCCCTGAGGGGAGGGGCTTCAGATGAATGCAATGCTAAACGGGCAGCGTGCGCTTGCACACTGCGGCCCGTGCGGAATTTATCTAACGAGCACGCCACACACCCTCCAACAATCGTACGATTCTCGGCGGGTTTTCGAACATGTTCCTAAGATAAAAGTCGCGCGACCCTACAGTAGAAACGGTCGCACGCCTTCCACACACCTTGCGATAATCGTACGATCGCAGGTTTTCCCGCGATTACCGCAAGGTGTGCGGGCACCTTAAGTAGGCTTTTTTTTCCCCTGACACCAAACAGATATGCGGCATGTTTTTGTGCTGAGACTGATTGCGCCGACAGCTGCCGGTCTCAGGCTATCAATTGCCAGCCGGGAGGAAAACCTGCTGATCATGTGATCACTAGTAAATGATGCCTTGCCTGGAATCTCTCTCTCTCCTCTGTGACAAGGTGCCCACACACCTTGTGGTAATCGCGGGAAATCCCGCGATCGTACGATTATCGCAAGGTGTGTGGAAGGCGTGCGACCGTTTCTACTGTAGGGTCGCACGACTTTTATCTTAGGAACATGTTCGAAAACCCGCAGAGAATCGTACGATTGTCGGCGGGTGTGTGGCGTGCTCGTAAGATAAATGCCGCACGGGCCGCAGTGCGCAAGCGCACACTTCCCGTTCAGCATTGCGGTCATCGGAAGCCCCTCCCCTCAGGGGGGCGGGCTTGCGATGATCGCAAGTACGATCTGCCTGTCCAAGATGGGCAGATCGTACGTTTTTTCAATTACCTTACAAGACAAGTGGTCGCAAGACAAGTGGTTGTAAGGTCTGTGGCCAGCAATACAATGTATCCATTCTGGAGAGCAGAGACACAATGGAAGAAAAGACTTTAGAAAAAAAAAAAGTCAGTAAAAAAAAATTGAAATAAATAAAAACAAGAGAGATAAAACATTTCGGTCAGGACGTGATTTTGGTCAGAGTTCAGTGTTATCATCTTTAATTCTAGGTAGAATTTTAAAAAATTCACACGATTGTCTTTGGGCCTCACTATGGATGCAGACCGCAAATAACACGCACACATATGCGGTGTCCCCATACATGTCAGGAGAATATATTTTGGGTTGTTTTTAGTTTATGGGTTATGGTAATTGAAAGAAATATACAGCCTTGTTCACACCAAATGCAGAGCAGATCCGGTCAGGTTTCTGCACACGCACGCTAGTCTTTTAAATGCGTTTTTGACGCGTTTTTGGCTATAAAAAAAGTTGTTGTTTTTTTTAAGTTTAAAATGGGCTTTCAGTGCGTTCCAGGCATTTGCATGCTTTTTTGATGCGTTTGCAGATCCAGAGCAGGTAAAATAGGGCCTGCTGCAGTTTTTTCACCTGCTCTGGACCTGCTCTGGACCTGCACGCTGCGATGTGAACTGGAGCAAAAAATACCATAGGAATACATTGGACGTAGTTTTGATCCGGCCTGCAACTGCTCCGCTCTGCACCTGCTCCACGCTTGGTGTGAACAAGGCCTAAGCATAAAATGACTATATAAAAACAAACAAACGTGGAAGAATCCTTTAACATTGATCACCAAATGAAGTTCAATTTGTCCTCAACAAAGCAAAGTCAAATTCCCCCGGGATTCGTAGCTGCAAAGATTTGTTCAGTTATACTACTAAGATGCACATCTGGGATCGGGCATTACGGTATGTTGTACCCGCCGTCATGGGGGGGGGGGGACATGGAAACCCGACAATTATGTCTGGATCCGCTCAGCTGCGTGACTGACAGCTGGCTCTGCCTATCTAGAGGCAGAGCCAGCTGTACCCGCCCCCTCCCCCGTCCCTTCCGCCAGTCAGCGCTGGAGGATCGGAGCGGGGAGAGGGGAATCCAGCCCCTCCCCTGTCACGGCAGAGAGCCGTGACAGGATCGAGAGGTGAGCGAACGCCGGTATGTCTTCGCTCACCTCCCGATCTACTGAGCCGAACTGTGACAGTCTCATTGTCACAGGCCGGCTAGAACTCTGAGGTGAGTGAAAAGCACCCCCCCTCATAGTTCTCCTTTAAAAGGACTCAAAGTAGCAAATTGAGTTGATTGGATTGATATAAAATTAGTGAGGAGAACGAAGTGGCGGAAGATACATTCATCAGATTTCGGACACCTTGTTATCCGCATTAATTTTCTATCAGTTCAATCAACTTAATTTGCCACTTTGAGTTCTTCAAGTATACATTTAAAATCCAATCCATGATGAAGGGTGATTGTTCAGACCCATGAAACGCGTTGGCTGTTTTATTCAATCATCTGATGAATGATTCAAGTTTTTGGGCTCATTTCGGTTCTGAAGCAACTTCTTATTTCTTAGATTTTTTGCCCTCCAGGGACCCGAGGTATGGGCAGTCTGGCAAGCGCAGCCTGACCGGGGGCCAACGTGCTCTACAAAACTGAATTGTATGGACTGTTGGTGATTCTGTATCACTGATCACCGTTGTCCTAAACGCCTCTCTGAGCTTTCTTACGTTTATATAACGGCTCTGTGTCCTCATTGGGGGAGATTCGCCTTCTCTACTTGTGCTTATCAACAATGTCACCGAGACATATATTGATTTCTGTGACGCGGTATATTCTACGCTGATACAAAGTTAATTCGTGAAATCTTTCCATCGCGGCCGATCGGCGCAGAACGCGCGTCCCCATTACTATGAACGCAGAGACCTGCAGAGTATTGACAATCCTTCTTATCACCTCCAACTGCACGATGCTGAAAGGCGGCCGGGCCGGGGGAAGGCGGGGGGCGTCTCGGAGGTCGGAGGGGGATGAAAGCTTCGGAGGTGCGATTCTACGGAATAAATACGTCGCCACATAAAAGAGAGCGACGGATAGAGAGAGCACAATGGAATGGAAATTAGATTCACAGAAGCCGGGTATCCAGATACAGTATTTCTATGCCGACTATTGAGAAGTCGCAGCTCATAAACACCCCCCAATCACACCAATGACAATCACTGCGGCCTGGATATACAATGTGTAAAGTAAGGGGGGGGGGGCGGGGGGGAGCAAGAAAAACCAGACACCCCATATGAAGCTATAGCACCATACATTAGGATTGCGGGGGTGGACATACAATGTGTACAGTAAGGGGGGTGGGGGAGGGGCAAGAAAAACCAGACACCCCATATGAAGCTATAGCACCATACATTAGGATTGCGGGGGTGGACATACAATGTGTACAGTAAGGGGGGTGGGGGAGGGGCAAGAAAAACCAGACACCCCATATGAAGCTATAGCACCATACATTAGGATTGCGGGGGTGGACATACAATGTGTACAGTAAGGGGGGTGGGGGAGGGGCAAGAAAAACCAGACACCCCATATGAAGCTATAGCACCATACATTAGGATTGCGGGGGTGGACATACAATGTGTACAGTAAGGGGGGTGGGGGAGGGGCAAGAAAAACCAGACACCCCATATGAAGCTATAGCACCATACATTAGGATTGTGGGGGTGGACATACAATGTGTACTGTGGACTACAGAACCTCTCTCCCTTCGTGTTATTGCGATACAGAGAGGGCAAGGTGTTCTGTAGATCTGACACACTTCCTGCTCTACGGTACTGTATCCATATAGATACAGTACAGTGAGTGAGCGTTGTCACCCTCCGACAGGAAGTGTGTTACTGGCTGGATCACCTGGCGAAAAAGTAAAGCCTGAAGAAAGAAACGAATGCAGCTGCACATGTAAGGCAGGCTGCAACATGACATTTTGTTATTAGATACCCCTTTATTGTGTGTTCATACACGCCGCGTGTCTGTCTGCGCTCTCATCAGGTCATGTGACCTTCCTGCGGTGCGCGGCCTCATCTGAACGCTTCCCTGGTCTGAACCCCCATTCAATTCAATGTAGAGATGTCAGCTCAGCAGAACCCTTCATGGGGCCGCATGAAGATCAGGGGACACATGTGTGTGGGAGTAGACCCACAAATACCTGTTGATCCTGCCAATGAAGTGCACCTAATGCAGCTTCCTGTGATGGGGTGACAACGATGCTGAACTGCTTTTGAAATCAGAGCAGCGTTTTCACTCTCATGTAGTCTTTCCAATGCAGTGTCGTGTGATGGGGTGACAACAATGCTGCACCGCTACTGAATTCAGAGCAGCGTTGTCACCCTCATGTACTCTGTGCATGCTTGCAGCTCAATCGCCCAAGGACCGGAACTCCCAAACGTATTTGTGGGTGCTCGCAATGAGCCTGATGAAGGGGACCCTGTGTGGCCCCGTAAGCGCTTGATGACACTCTGAGTGATGACTGACATCAATAAATGGATTTGCACTGACGTCTCGGTCTCTGTCGTGCTGGTGACTTTTCTACACAATGCTTGCAGCTCAATGGAAGGAGATGTTGTTGGGGGCGTGGCTATCAGCATTGCCCTATTGATTCATAAGCCTGTAGCTTGTCAATCAGCAGATGGCCACACCTAGTCCCACCCCATGCTTCTGGATTGATAGCGCTGCCCCGGTTGCTGAAACCCTCCCAATGTGAGCTGCAGTGTCTGGGAGGGGGAGCGTGTGAGACACAAATGAAGGAGAATTTGGGGAGGTGAAGTCTAATAACTGGCTCTGGGACTTGTTTAGCCTGGAGATCCCGCCAGTAGCAGCACTTCCTGTTGCAGGCTGACAATGCTATGCTAGTGCATTCAAAGCCTGCCATGCACGCGCCTTCGTTTGGCTGTTGTGCTGCCTGAATTGCAGGCTTGTTCCGGGTCAGTGACTCAAAGTATCGAAGCCGCCGGACTGGCATGACAGCCATATAAACAGCCTCCTCATATCACCAGAGGGTTCATTTAAAATGATTACAGACTCTCTTCTTCAAGCCATGCGTCTTCCCGTAAACATCCACACGTCTGCCGTCTCTAATGACGGCCCCCCCCGGGGCAGATGCGTCCCTCCGACGTAATGTTTCAGCGAAGACGGGAAATCGCTAAGCTTTATTGGCAGCCTAATGGCGAAACGCGTTCATGTCAGAAACCTAGGGGGGGGGGAGAAGGAATAAAGTGTAAACGAGGAACGTGACTGGAAGATGGCAGCTCTCTGCTCCTACGGGGTCCCTCAAGCTACACGCGGCCCCTCCGATTATTTGACAGTCATTAGCGCATTCTACCTGCGGGAGCAAACTGCAGCGGAGCAATCAATATCAAGCTGAGAAGTCGCACTAAGTGCTCGGAGAGGACGCGCCTGTCATCCTGCGCCGTGACGGGAGACTCATTGACAAGCATCACACACGGGTGATGAGACGTCCCCCCCCGGCGTATATGTTGGGGCTGGAGCCGGGGGTTGGACTCCATGGTTGGTGATGACGTCCGGGAATTAGGAGGCAACGCCATCGATAAACTCTATAATCATTATTATCGATAAGAGATGAGCAACTTCCTGTGACGCCCAGGAGGTGACACAATGTAACCAAAGCAGAGATTGTCCATGTCTGTAGGATACAAAGATGGAGCCGTCCAATGGGCTGTTGCCTCAGGCGACGTCTCCTTTTGTCATGTGGGGGGGCGGCAAGCAGAGTGGCATGGCGGCTCTGCTGTACAATGTTTGCAAAGTGACTGCCTCCCCCCTGTCTGGTCCGAGTGATCTACCTGAGAC